TTATAAGGATAAGATAATTAATGAATTATCAATTTAGCACAAATTTGTAATGGCAATTAAGGAAAATAAGATTTTGAGGATTTAATAAATTGATCCTTATAGTAAATTATCCTTCAATAAAGGAAAGGAATACATACCTTAAGTAAAGGGTTAGATTTCCTTCATAAGTTGCTAAAATAGAATAGCAAATGACAGATAATTTCACACTCTCAATGGGTGTTCATTTTCAGAAGTAAGCAAGTAAGAGAATAGGCTGTTTGGCGAAGAGTGGATTCCAGCTCTGTAAATCAGGTAAGTAGGAATCTCGCCTACAGTATGAATAGATTTTTAAAGAAAAAGTTACACATGTTATATATGCATGTTTATGTTTTAAGTATTGTATGCGATGCTATGTCATGCTGCATACACATAAGCAGCACACATGAATTATATGTGCTTGAGTTAATTTAATGTTATGTATACTATGCTAGATCATACTGCATACACTTAAGCAGTGCACATGAAGTATATGTGTTTGAGTACATTCCATGTTATAGTATGCTTTGCTATGTTATATTGCATACACCTTAATAAGTCAAGAGGAACTTATAAGAATAATTATCAGTTGAGTGCCGTACCAGCCTCCACAAGGGAGGTAACTCATGCTCCACAAGGGAGAAACAGAAAATAACAATAATGTCCTCCGACTCAAGGGAGGCATTCAAGTTATAATCACGGTGTCGTGGGGGACCTTGCAAACCCTCACGTTCCGATGATTGCGCGCAAGTGGTACGCGAGCACTCGGGCCCATCAGTAAGAAAGATAAGATAAGATAATAAGATTATGATAAGACATCATAATTAAGCATAATCAGCTCATGCATATTTATTCATGTGTACTTACAGTTATTTTGTGAGATATAGTTCCTACTTGCTGAGCGAAAGCTCAATCAGATATGTTCATGCTGTAGGTAAGAAACCTATCAGCAATTCTTGAAGGGCAATGGCAAGCGGCAGACGAATGGTGGAGATGGGAATGGATACCGCTCACGCAGTTATCTTCCGCAGTAAGTTTAAGAAAAATCATGTATATGTATATATGATTTAAAGGTTTCAAGCATGTATGTTTAAAAAGTATAGGTACATATGTATGTTAAGGAAACCAAGGTTGTAGCTAACAACCCTCGTTTTGAGTATTTAAGTTTTAGAACGTTGCAACAGAGCATGCAACAAATAAACAAATTTTAAACATGACGATTTAAAACGATTGATTTTAAAAGGGCTTTAAGATGTACTCGAATTTAAGATTTCTCACGAAATCCGTTTTAAAGGCAAAATTAAATGGCCCAATTGAATTGGCTAGTTTTAGAAAGGCTTTTAAAGAGCATTTGAAATAAGAGTTCAAATGCTGCTCTGTTTGAAAGATATTTTTAGAACGTTTTATCTTAACTGAAATTAAGAAAAGCTTTAAGAAATTTAGTGATTCACTTATTTGAAATTATTGTTACAAATTATGAAAGTATTCTTTCTTATATTAAAAAAAAAAAATGTTCCGCAAATTTTAAGAAACCCCAGTAAGTACAAGTTAAAGTTTAAGTTACAGTGGCGGTCTCATAGGAGGGTCGCCACATTTACAGGGTGAACAAGCTTGGCAACCGACGCCTGTCTCCCTCCACCATTTGCGCAAGCTCCAAGCTCGCAATAGTGTCGCTTCCTTCTACCACTTGTTGCTTATACCATCGGAGTCCCCACAACTTGGCAGCGATGATCATCCTCTACTGGCCCCTACGTTGCGTGACTTTGCCGATGTCTTTCAGGAGCCCACCGGCCTTCCCCCACACCGCCAACTTGACCACCATATTCCATTACAGCCTAATGCTCCTCCTGTCAAGGTCCGGCCGTATCGTTACCCCCATTTTCAGAAAGGGGAGATCGAATGCCTTGTCAACGAAATGTTGGCTGCTGGCATTATCCAACCAAGCACTAGTCCCTTCTCCTCGCCGGTTCTTTTGGTCAAAAAGAAAGACGGGACATGGCGTTTTTGTGTTGATTATCGTGCTCTCAATAGTATCACCATCAAGGATTCTTTCCCAATTCCAACGGCTGACGAGTTAATGGATGAGCTCCACGGTGTAGAGATTTTTTCCAAACTGGATCTTCGGGCAGGATATCATTAGATTCGCGTGAGTCCAGCTGACGTTCCCAAAACCGCGTTTCGCACCCATGACGGTCATTATGAGTTTCTTGTGATGCCCTTCGGGTTGTCCAATGCTCCATCTACGTTCCAAGCCACTATGAATCTGATTCTTAAGCCGTTCCTTCGCCGCTTTGTCGCTGTGTTTTTCGATGACATATTGGTCTACAGTGCATCCATTTCTGATCACATTCGACATCTCCGACAGGTTCTCCAGGTCCTACGAGAACACCAGTTCTTTGTCAAGCGAAGTAAATGTACTTTCGGCCAAACATCCATAGAATACTTAGGGCATATTGTATCTAACTATGGTGTCAGCATGGACCTCGCCAAGGTTAAGGCTATGCTGGAATGGCCGGTGCCCAATAACCTTAAGGAACTCAGGGGATTCCTCGGCCTCACCGGTTATTATCGGCGCTTTGTTCGGTCATATGCCACCATTGCTAGCCCTCTTACCGACTTGCTCAAGAAGGATACTTTTGCTTGGACCTCTGTAGCCCAATCTGCCTTTGACACATTCAAGGCCGCCATGACAAGTGCCCCGGTATTGGCTCTTCCAAACTTTGTAGCAGAATTTGTGGTCGAGACTGATGCCTCCAATTTCGGTATTGGAGCTGTTCTTCTTAAAAGTGACCATCACATCGCCTATTTTAGCAAAAAACTGTCACCGCGAATGCAACACACTTCAGTTTATGTGCGCGAGTTGTATGCTATTACAGAAGCTGTTAAGAAATGGTGACAATATTTGCTGGGCCGTCATTTCGTCATTCGTACGGACCAAAAGAGCCTTCGTGGACTTCTCGACCAAGTTATACAGACTCCTGAGCAACATCACTATCTTGCTAAACTCTTGGGATACCACTACACCATTGTCTATAAGCCGGGTAAGGAGAACTGTGTGGCCGATGCCCTATCTCGGAAACCATATGACATTATAGCCAATTTTTGTGCCTACACTCGGGTCCATTTTCAGCTGCTTGACAAATTGCGCCAAGAAATCTTGACTGATCCATTTTATAACCAGTTTCGACCCTCTGATGGCTCCACTGACCCAGTATCCTCTAAGGTGGAATGGCGAGATGGACTGGCACTACAAAACGGACGGCTTTTGCTCAGCCCCACATCTGCCCTACGTCATCAAGTACTGAAGGAATTTCATGATTCATTAACGGGTGGCCACGGTGGAGTTAAAAAGACATTGTCTCGTATCTGTGCATCTTTCACTTGGCCTCACTTGCGGCGTGATGTCGAGAACTATATTCGGGAGTGCCTCATTTGCCAGCAAACTAAATATGATACCCGATGCCCAGCTGGTTTGCTTCAGCCCTTACCCATACCGACGTAAATTTGGGAAGATGTGAGCATGGATTTTATTACCGGCCTGCCGAATTCCAATGGTTTCACCACCATCCTTGTCGTGGTCGACCGTTTATCCAAACAGGCACATTTTGCGGCTCTATCCGCTCACTACACCGCTGCGAAGGTGGCCGATGTCTTTGCTTCATCTGTTTGTAAACTCCATGGCATCCCTCGTTCCATCGTGTCAGACCGGGATCCTATCTTTCTGAGTAAATTTTGGACGGAGCTCTTCACTTTGAGCGGCACTACCTTACGGCGTAGCACGGCTTACCACCCTCAAACCGACGGTCAAACGGAGGTGGTAAACAGGACGCTTGAGCAATTCTTGCGAGCTTTTGTGGCTGAGCAGCCCAAACGATGGGCCCGGATCCTCCACTGGGCGGAACTATGGTACAACACCTCCTTCCACTCAGCGGCTGGTATGACACCATTCAAGGCCGTCTATGGGTGAGATCCTCCAACCATCAGAGATTACATTTCCACTACTGCTTCGACTGAAGATGTTGATCTCCTCTTGACTGACCGCCAGCAGATCCTGGATCAGCTGCAGATCAACCTTACTCGAGCTCAGCAGCGAATGAAAAAGCTTGCGGACAGACACCGACGTGAGGTTGAATTTTCGGTGGGAGACTTGGTTTTAATCAAGCTCCAGCCCTACCGACAAGGAAGTATGGCCCACCGTCAGTCCCATAAGCTGGCCAAAAAGTATTTTGGATCTTACCGCATTAGTCAGAGGGTGGGACTCGTGGCTTACAAGCTCGACCTTCCTTCTTACACCAAGGTCCATAACATGTTCCACGTGTCCATCTTGAAACAGTTCCATGGGACAACTCAGCTTCCCACTTTGTCGCTTCCCCCAGAGTTTGTAGATGGCCTCCCTGTTCTGCTTCCAGTAGCTATTCTTCAGCAACGACATGCAGCACGTGATGGACAGCAACATCTACAATACTTGGTGCAGTGGCAGAACTTGGCTCCAACCGAAGCTACTTGGGAGGATGCTGTTGTGTTTCACGCCACCTTCCCACACTTCGACCTTGTGGACAAGGTCCATCTCGAAGGGGCGGGTAATGATACAATCAGCCCAACTAGGCCCCAGAAAGAGCTGGCACCTGAGGAGGCAAATGGAGCTACTGACCCAGGACCACCTAGAGGAGTACCCAAAAGGATGAGCGTGAAACCTGGGCGGTATAGGGATTAGAGTTTGTTATGCGAAGCTGGCGTTGTTTCCATTTTCCTTGTAACCGTTAGCAAATCTGTAACAAACTCCTTGAATTGAATATAATAGCTGATGCTCACGATGGAAAAGCATTCAGCAAGATTTTACCTAAAAATTATCTCTCTTCTCATCTCTCGCACTTATCTTTCCCTCATCTCTTTTCTCTGTTTAGTGACTCTGTGCAGGGACCCATCACAATGCGTTGTTTCATTATGATAATGATAACATCATTATGAACAAGCATGGCTATGGCAGTTTGCAATATAATAAAAACAACAACAGGCAGCCAACGGGCTTATCAAAATCAACATATCCAAACAAAACAAAAAACAAAAAAACAAAAAAACAAACAAACAAACAAAACAAAAAATAACAACAACAAACGTTCCTAATAATCAAATGAAATGAAAATAGCAAACGCACTAACATCAAAGATCAAACATATTACAACTCCCATTACAGTAACATGTAGATCAATGAAAAAATTGAAAGTAACCACAAAAACCAAAATTGTCTATCGAGAGGGAAACACACCAACCAGTAACCACACCAAAACCAACCTTGACTATTGAGAGGGAAACAAACCACAAACAACCTTCGGGAGCAATTGAATTAAAAAACTGGGTACAAAACACTCACAAATCACGGGAAAGGCTTTTTTTCCCCCTTTTCTCCTCTCTTTTCCGTTTGATGTCAAGGCTAGCAGCATTTTTCAAACTGAGAGGGAAAACTGGTTATGTAAAAAACACAATCAATGATTAGATTAAGACCATCCATAAAACACTAGCGGATATTTTTGTAGTATTATATAATCATATATTTTTTTAGGTCAAGGCCATCCATAGTGGCTATTTTATGTAATTACTTCAAAAGATACCTACCACGCGTAATCGCGTATACTAACTACATTGATCATTTCATCTAAATGAGTATTATAATTGGAAGATCCATATGACTTGAGACATATTGGAACATATTCCTAATTAAAAAAAAAATACTAGAATTAGTGCAGAACAATGGAACATTCTCGTTGCATCAATTTGATCATGATCATCTGTTTTTCTTCTTCTTCTTTTTCTTTTTCCTTTTTATTTCTATCTCCCTTGTAATGTTGTGACAGTTACACCAGTAGAAACATTATTTGACTTATTCAATGATGATGAAGAAGAGCTAGCTGTCTCTATAAAAGTTCTTTCAGTGTAAAATCCAGGTAGTTTAGGTTGGGGCAGCACAGCATTATCACTATCCAACATGAAGAGAACAGATGACATTAAGGGCCTTTCTTCAGGGTGCTTTTGAACACACAATAATCCAATTTGGATACATCTTAACACTTCGGCTACAGGAACATTTTCCATTAAAACATCTATGAGCTCCATGGGCCTGTCCTCAATCCATAGTTTCCATGCCTAATACAAATCAAAATTTCAGAATCATTAGTGACATCTATGGCTAGACTCTTACCCTAGGTTTATAAGTGCTTTTGTACAAACTCCGAACTTACAAAGGAAATTAACTAAGAAGTTAGAACTCACGTGTCCTAAAAGATTGAGGTTATGATCAGGATGTTCAAATCTTCTATTCTTCTTCCCACTCACTATCTCCAACACCATGACACCGAAGCTAAAGACGTCAGATTTCACTGAAAAGTGCCCATCCATCATGTACTCTGGAGACATATATCCACTACATCAAAACAAAACAGATAAGTAAATCCCATTAGACTTGACAACTGTATAAAGTTGTAAGATATGGATATTATACACAGATAGAGAAGAAAAACAATTAAAAAGAGATTGAACTTACTATGTGCCAACTACTCTCTTAGTATTTATATCAGTTTGGTCACCTCCAAGTAGTATTCTTGCCAAGCCAAAGTCCGATATCTTGGGGTTAATCTCACTATCTAAAAGAATATTATTGGCTTTAAGATCTCGGTGAATAATTCTCAATCTTGAATCTCGATGAAGATAAAGAAGTCCACGAGCAATCCCCGCAATAATATTAAAGCGCTTCTTCCAATCAAGAGCTGTGTCCCTTGTTTGATCTGTTACCATTTACAACATATGAAGTTAAATTTCAATGTCTATAGACCACAGGCACAAATCATATGAAATAAATATAATTTTTTAGGTTGGCTAACTGAATATGTATAAGTCCAAGCTCTTTTTAGGCATGAACTCATAGATCAACATCCTCTCTTCTCTATGAGTACAACATCCCAACAGCCTCACAAGATTCCGGTGTTGAAGTTTTGAAATCAAGGTAACCTCATTCTTGAACTCTACAGGCCCTTGTCCAGAATCTTTAGAAAGCCTTTTCACTGCTATTTCTTGCCCAGATGATAGCACACCCTATAAAAAAAATAGTGTTATTAGATAAAAGGTATATAAAAAAATTCAAAGGAAAAATTAATATTGTTCATTTCACAAAGTAAGATAATCTATATTATATAAAACATTAAGGTACCTTGTAAACAAGACCAAAACCACCCTGACCAATTTTATTTGTGAAGGCGAAGTTGTTGGTAGCATTTGCAATAGTATCAAAGCCAAATAAAGGTAGCTCCACATCTTCCTCTAAATGAGTAGGAGTCATTGTTCCCTCTGCAGAAGCGGGAAAATTAAACTGAAATGCATAATGGCACACAGACAACATTGTATTGCAAGATCTATTTGTGTGATCAATGCAAGTCTTCTGGATCATGTTTGTTAGGTTGCATGCAGTAATAAAGAACTACCCGCTCTTGAGGTGTTCTTAAATACTTTCCGTTTCTAATTCTTATTTGAATCCTTCTAGCACTAATGAACATTTTTTTTTTCCTTGTTACCACCAAGAATGTTCAAATTTCAAGAGATAAAAGGCTAATTAATAAAGATTAGAAGAAACAAAATTACAAGTTTTGCTGCTGTTTTAGTCTTTATGTTAATGAATTTTTAAGAAATGAAAATAAAATCTCTAGGATATTCTTCTTAGATGCTTATTACAATTGTATAGTATGTTATATATTGGACAACAGAGTATAAACCAAAGAATATTCTTCTTAGATGCTTATTAGTCATTACCTTGAAGATATTATGCGGAAGGAAAATATTATATCTTACCTTGGCTTATAAGGCAGCAGGATGTCCTCTTACAGATGAGACATCCACCTACTACACATAATAGAATAAACCCCAAAATTGCTGATATGATCACCACAATCTTTTTGCTCTTGTTTGATCCCGTGACTATAAAAAACCACAACAGAATAAAACGAATGTATTAAGGACACATTTATCAAACCTCAATGGACTAATATTAGTGAGAAGGGTAATGAATTTGAAAAGTAAAATAAAGAAATAAAAATGAGTATCATTTATTCTCTTTCTAGTATTTACTTACCTATAAAAGGTGGAATAACAAACAATATACTTCCTTAATAACAATCTTTATTAACGTAATTTCTTAAACAAAACATGTGAACTCATTAAAGGTATATAATTAAAATTTGTATTCATTACCTTTAACCCGAAATCAGTACTAAAAATGTTTAAGTGCCTTTTTAAGAATCTGACTTACTATAAGTACTTCTTTTAAAAAACTCTACAGATTGAATAGTTCTAGTTTAAAAAGTAGAAAAATATGAGCTAATTAATATTAAGGGGTAGAAATAAAAAGAATTCTAATTCAAGGAGTATTTTTAAAAGTTTTTCTATTTTCTTTTCTCGTTTTCTATAATGTATATATGGGGCCGGTACCAAACTACCATTCTTAATTCATTAGTAAGCAAATAGTTGAATGGGAAAGGAAACATGTGTTTACGCTTTCCCTTTCATGTCTAGGAACCATGGCTAAAAAATAATCAGAACGTAAGCATAACGTAGAAGAGATGTAACATGGAATGAATTAACAGTTAGTATTAAAAAATTTAAAGAAATGGAGTTGAAGAAAATGTAAGCCCCATGAAAGTGTGTTATAATGTCAAAAGGTTAATGACCTTATAAAAGTTCTACAATTATCCAAAAACCCAACTCAAAGTTTGCTAAAATGAAATACATTAAATTTTTTTTGGAAGAAAAATGGAATACATTTGTTATCAGAAATTAGATGTGTACAAATTTACTTACTCTGCACTTCAAACTAAATTACTTGAAAAATTGAGAACTGAGAAGCAAGACTTACCAAATTCAGAAGCAGCCATTCTAATGTACAAATCTTGTCCACCATCGCTGAAATGTCTCATATCAAGCAAGTCCGCAGACCAGATTACACAGCCAGCAAGCCGAGCCACAGCATAAGCCACACAAGAGCAGTTTCTCCTACAAATCAACTCACAATCCTCCTTCCTCACCACCGATCCGTTCACCGTAAATTCCGAATTGTACGGCAACTTCATCCGAGAGAACTTCTTGAACCTCTCGCTTTCGCTACAGTTCAAGCGTGTCTTTAGCACACATCCACTGGTAAAATCCATTGCATCCCACTCTTCCTGTACTTTTGGAACAAAACCAGTTGGGCAATGGCAATCTAGACGGTTGTCACTGCTGTCACAGATTCCATTAGGACCACAACGCGCAAAAGTGTCACAATGATCTCTCTGCATCGTGTAGATGCTAACCCAATTTTCGTTCTCTTGGTTCCACCGGAGCTGCCCAGGAGATCCCGATGGATTCAACCAGAACCTGGTGACCGTGGAATTGTCCGCGTTTTCGAAGGTATAGTAGACATGGGTTTCATTCACAACATAGCTGGGTTTAAAGACCGCATTTTCCTGGAGAGGATTGTCTCCGCCTGTTTGTACACCATCCCATGGCCCATTTCTGTACGCAATATCTTGGCCTTTGAGCAGAAGTACCTGAGGAAGCCTACGAGGGTCTGATTCGTATGTGTAGGTTCCGATGGATGGATCTTGGAGGCTGTTCCAGGAGGTTAGCTTCCAACTTTGACCAGTAATGAAGTCTTTACCCAGCTTCATACCCGCAATGAGCGAATCGCAGGGATGATCGAAACTCTGCCATGTATAGTTTCCGTTACTGCCATCTTTAACCACGAGGTTTCCTGTGTTTAAGAGCTGCAAAGTGGGGTCTTTTGCTGATGAATTTGAGGACCATATAGGGTCCTCTGTTTTGTTGCTGTGGATTATTATATTTCCGGTTTCGGTGATTTTGAGGACACCAGACGAGTCTGTGAGAGGGTTGCCTCTGTTGGCAACCCAGACGGCCGTGAGATCTGAAACATTCTTGAACCATATTCCCACGTAGCGGTTCTTGGAATTAGGTGGACTGAAAAAGCCTAATTCGAATTTTTCCCCGGTGGAGACCAGAGTTTGACCGGTGTCTTGGAGAGTTTGGTTTGGTTTTATGGTGTCATCAGCTGCCAAGGAATTATGGAAGCAGATAAGAGAGAAGAAAAATATGATAATAACCTGCTTCATTGATTATTTATAGTTCTGGGAAACTGAAACGGAGAACAACGAGATCTTGAGAGGCAAGCTTTTCTATGTTCCCATCTCCATAGTTTTCTTCTTTTCTTCGCATCTTTTAAGTTTAAACTTCTCTCTTTCCAGGGCGTTTACCAAATGAAGCTCGAATAGACTATACTAGCGTACAGATCCTAAAGTCAAGTACCTAATGAAAATAATATAATTTGGACTAGACGATATTAGCATTATTCTTATTCATATTTAAATGGATGAATACGTAAATGAATTTTGCTAATTTGTCATTACTATTTTGTCAACCTTATACTATCTGTTGGAAAATAAAATGATCATTTTTTTTCCTTTTTGGCGACTGTAACACACGTAATGTACCTCTCACTAGAAGCCATCAAATTTGGTATTTTCAGCAGCAATCTTCTTGTGCAAAACCTTCTAGAAAAAGAAACATCACCGGCTACCGGGGAGGACTAAAATTGCTGATGCAAATATTTACCCCCAAAACATTGAATGGTATTTTTAAAACAAATACTATAAAAATATTGCCATCCTTTGACAAAGTCCAGTCCAACGATCATCAGCAAAATCTGTCACCGTCTATATTTGCTCAATGTGAGATATGAAATATGTTAACAATTTTTCTTAGGCTTTCTTCAAATGTGCCTACGACTTGGTAAGCTTTTTGTTAGCATAGAATAATTAATACTTACGTGCATTGAAAAAGAACAAGAACAACAAAAACAAAACAAAAAGTAACCAACCTTTTTCTCGTTGCATCAATAGTTTCCATGCCTAAGAAAAATAAGGACTTAATTTAAGAATAATTATATTGAAAATTATAAAGTTATAGTAAGGAACAAATGAAAATTAACTAATAGTCACACCTCACATGTCCTGGAAGATTGAGGCTATGATCAAGATGTTCAAATTCTCTGTTCTTCTTCCCAGTCACTATCTCCAAAATTATGACACTAAAGTTAAAGACATCAGATTTAACCGAAAAGTGCCCATCTATTACGTACTCTGGAGACATATAACTACTACATCTAAGCAAAATAGAGAAATGAATCCCATAATGCTTGGACAACTATATAAGTTTCATAAGAAGTGTTAATTTAATGTATTTTTGAGTTCAAATATTTGTGAGTCTTTAAGCATTTTTATTAGTTTAATGTGTTTTTAGTGTTATTTTGTAGGAAAAATAATAAAATGGGACTTAGTGGCATTTTGGAGTAAAAAAATAATATAATTTGGACTAGACGATATTAGCATTATTCTTATTCATATTTAAATGGATGAATACGTAAATGAATTTTGCTAATTTGTCATTACTATTTTGTCAACCTTATACTATCTGTTGGAAAATAAAATGATCATTTTTTTTCCTTTTTGGCGACTGTAACACACGTAATGTACCTCTCACTAGAAGCCATCAAATTTGGTATTTTCAGCAGCAATCTTCTTGTGCAAAACCTTCTAGAAAAAGAAACATCACCGGCTACCGGGGAGGACTAAAATTGCTGATGCAAATATTTACCCCCAAAACATTGAATGGTATTTTTAAAACAAATACTATAAAAATATTGCCATCCTTTGACAAAGTCCAGTCCAACGATCATCAGCAAAATCTGTCACCGTCTATATTTGCTCAATGTGAGATATGAAATATGTTAACAATTTTTCTTAGGCTTTCTTCAAATGTGCCTACGACTTGGTAAGCTTTTTGTTAGCATAGAATAATTAATACTTACGTGCATTGAAAAAGAACAAGAACAACAAAAACAAAACAAAAAGTAACCAACCTTTTTCTCGTTGCATCAATAGTTTCCATGCCTAAGAAAAATAAGGACTTAATTTAAGAATAATTATATTGAAAATTATAAAGTTATAGTAAGGAACAAATGAAAATTAACTAATAGTCACACCTCACATGTCCTGGAAGATTGAGGCTATGATCAAGATGTTCAAATTCTCTGTTCTTCTTCCCAGTCACTATCTCCAAAATTATGACACTAAAGTTAAAGACATCAGATTTAACCGAAAAGTGCCCATCTATTACGTACTCTGGAGACATATAACTACTACATCTAAGCAAAATAGAGAAATGAATCCCATAATGCTTGGACAACTATATAAGTTTCATAAGAAGTGTTAATTTAATGTATTTTTGAGTTCAAATATTTGTGAGTCTTTAAGCATTTTTATTAGTTTAATGTGTTTTTAGTGTTATTTTGTAGGAAAAATAATAAAATGGGACTTAGTGGCATTTTGGAGTAAAAAATTAGGGCAAAAAGCACTCTAGGCCGCACAAGGCTCTTGGCCAGACCACCTGTGCAGGCGCGCCACCTGAGTCGCGTGCCAAGGCCACAACCCGCTTGCCCGCACCACATTGGGTGCGCGGGCATGCCACTAGCCATGTGGCCGCTGTGACGACCCTCCCATGAGGCC